TTTCTCCCTTCATGTTCGACTGGGACTCGGGTGACGGCTGGCAGAGCCAAGTGGTCTCCATCCAACCGCTCATAGAGCTTGCTTCATCTGCACCCTGACATCGCCCCTCCCACTTCCTCCCTGCTGTTCCCACTTCCCAGCCCTTCTTCTTTCCTAGCCTTTCGAACGCTGTCCTTTTGATCTCAGGGCTGATTCATCTAAGGTGTGCACGCCTTGCTTTCTTTCTAATGAAGATGACACAAAAGGCGCCCTCAGTGGGCCGCCACAGAAAAGTCAGTGGTTTGAACACACCTGCAACTCCAAGAGAGAAAGGTGAGGCTGTCTGCTTCTGCACCGATTAAATCAAACACCCAACCCAACCCACTACTGTCTGGTTGGCTCTTGACTCACAGCAGTCCTATAGGACAGGGTAGAAATGCTCCGGAGGGTTTCTGAGACTGGATCATTTCAGGAGCACACAGCCTCAGCTTTCTCCCAAGGAGTGGCTGGTGAGTTTGAACCACCATTCCTGGGGTTAGCAGGTCAACTCCTAACCCACTGCGCCACTGGGGCACCTTCCATCAAGATGCGGCCATGGACACTCTAGGCAGCCATCCTGCTCTGTCTTCTTGGGTGGTGAGGAGACGGAATCAACTCAACAGCAGCAGGCGTGGTTTTGATTTGGTTTCCCTGGGGCTGTGGTGAAGGTGCTAGGGTGGAGAGGGCCTTGGAAAAGCCAAGCCAGTTCCAGGTTAGAGTAAGGTCAAGGGGTGTCTCAGAGAGGCCGCCCCACCAACTGCTAGAACATTCCAGAGATAGCCAAGCCCCTGCTTCGCATAAAACCAGGCAAGGGGCACAGAGTTGCAGGCCAAGCCCTGCCGTCCATCTGTACTCCCTGGGACAGAGGTCCCAGCATGGAGTGTCATGTCGGCGTGGTACTCACAGTGCTGGTGGCACCTGGCCAGGAGCTCCAGGTCGTCTATGTGGTAGTAGTCATAGCCTGAGGTCCCCAGCACTTCGAAGGGCAGGTATCCTATGATGGGAGGAGCCCTGCACAGGCACAAGGGGAAGGCTCCTATCAGAGTGGGCTCGGCTCACTGGTTCCCTCCCAGGCCCGGATGCCAGCCTCGCTGCTCCAGCACACGGGGAGGAAAAGAATTTTGCAGAGATCCAAACCAGTGAGGCCGTGTTCTCCAAAGCGCTCCAGTGTTTTTGGCATTTATATCCTACCTCAGTCCTGCCGCACAATGTGCCCCCCAAAGTAACAGACCTTATCGCTGCAGAACAGTTGCTCCGAGAGCAACTATAGATTAGATGGGTCAAAACACCAGTCATTAAAAAAGAAAATCAGGTGTGGAGAGAAGGGCATTTCTAGTTATCCAAGTGTGCATGGAGTTTTAGAGCGAGAAGAAAGATGAGGCTAAAGGGCTCAGGGCACCCTGGTGGCATTGTGGGCTAGGCTGCTAACGGCCAGGCCAGAAGTGCAAACCGGCAGCTCCTCCGTTGGGAGGAGGAAAAGGAGGCGCTCTGCTCGAGAAAGATTTTTAGTCTGGGAAGCTGTGTAGGGGCCCAACTGACTCCGGGGCAGGCAGAGGGATGGGGAAGTTTAGAAATATTTTTATCGGTTTGGCAAGGGCCACGAGAGGATTAAAAGAGAGAACACGGGAAGTCCTCTCCTCGCTGAGCCTGCCTTCCTGGGGGCTGGAGAGGCTGGTAGGGAACAAGGTGCACACTCCCAAGGCGGCGGCCCCAGCTCTCTTGAGATGGTCCGATCCCCAACAGAGCCGGCCCGTCAGTCAAGCGGCTCAAAGATGGTACAGGGAAATCCCCTCCCCTTGGCTGGAAACCTCCTTCCCAACGAGCCCTCTCCTTCCCAGCCAGGCCTGACTTTGCTCTCCTGGGGACAGCGAGCCTCAGACAGGCAGCACTGCCGAAGGAGCCAGCCCAGAGAGGTGCTTGTTCTTGTCACAAACCTGTGATCCAGAAATAAAAATTTCCACTCCAAGCTATGCCGGGAAGTGAATTCCTCGAAAGGTTCTTCAACGATGCACATTTCCTGCAGTAGGAGGCAAACCAAAACAAAAGCCGACCCGTTGCTCGGGGCACCGGCTGCTCAGCCTAAGCTGGTTTGTTCAGGAGGAAGGGGAAACCATTTGGAACACGCAAGCCCCCCAGCTGGGTTGGGTGGGCCCTCCTCATCTGCAGCTGACCTCAGGGTGCGCCGATAAGGAATTTACTTCACTGAGGCCGAGGAAAAAGATCTAGGAGCCAAGACGGCATGGCACCCCCTCCCAGGGTCTGCAAGTGGGGCAAACGCATGGGAGCTGGCATTTCATCTGAAGCCGAACGACCAGTCCAAGTCAGCGTTCACACCGTAGACATGAACGTAATCACAGAGGAGCAGACAGACAACCTCTCTGTTTCTTGACACGCAACTCTGCTCCGCGTCTGCTTTAATGTTGGCGGGAGCGTCAGGGAGAAGCCCTGAGCCTCTCTGCCATGGGGGCGACCAGAGGCCGCCTTCAGACAAAACAGCTGGTGGGAACTGGGCGCTAGGGAAGAGAGCAAGTGTGTGTGGTGGTGCGGGGTCTGGGGACTAGGCACCTCAGATTTTCAGTCAGGGACTTCCTTTTCCAATAAAGAGAGAGTGAGTGACTACTACCAAAAGGTGGCTCAGGAGGCCCTAAGCACTCAGAAGAGGTGGCAGTTCCACCCACTCATCGGATGCCAGCAGCCTAGAAACTCCTGAGGCAATCTTACTCGTTCACCCCGGGGTCACTATGAGCTGGGATGGACTTGACGCCGAACCAACGAACTTCTCAGATGTCAAGCCCTGTGCGCGGTCCCTTCCCTCGCAGGTGCTTACCTTTAGAAACTGGGGCGTGGCCAGACGAACCGTAGCGATGAAGCACACCTCCTTCCCTAAGGGCAGCTGGCACGGCCTCGACAGGGCGCCATCAAAGCCGTTACAAGAGGGACTAGGCACTGGGACAGGAGGAGAAGGGGCACCAGTTTAGGTCTGACCACAACCATAAAACCCCACGGGCAAGGATGCAATGCCAGGAATTCCAGGGCTGCTACATGCAAGGTCAGCAGTTCAAAACCACCCGTCGATCCACGGAAGAAAGATGAGGCTTTCCACTCCTGTAATGAGTTACAGTCTCGGAAACCCACAGAGTCAGTTCCACCTTGTCCTACAGGGTCACTATGAGTCGGCATCGACTCGATGGCAGTGAGTCGGTGAGGCACTGCTCCCACCACCTGGTGCACATGACCTTGTTTAATGCTGACAACCTACAAGGTTGCCGCCCATGGCACAGTTGTGGAGACAGAGGCACAGAGAGACCATGCAATGCACACCTGGCCAGCAGCTTCCTAGTGGCGGAATTGACATTTGAGCTCATGCTTTTTAATAGGCTCTGAGTATCTTATTCAATTCCAACAACCTCTCTGGATAGTAGTATTTCGCCTATCCCCAGTGCATGGATGGGGAAACTGAGCCACAGACAGTAGTTTGCCCAAGGTCAACAGCTAGAGTGGCAATTTAGATCCTCGTGCTGCGAGGGAAGGTCTGCTAAAGGGGAAGGCAGTCTTGTTCTGCACGCAGGATCCAACACTCACTTCAACCAGTGCTCGAAGGTCAGATTCAATGAGATGGTGTTTCAGAGACTGATAATGCCTTGGCATACACTGCTGCCCTCCGTCCCTGTGCCCAGGCCAGGGTCGGCACACCTGGGACTCAAGCCTTAACATGCTACCTTGGAGCCCCAGTCAAGGAGAGGTTCCAGCTGGCCATTAGTCTTTAGGGTCACCCCCAGAGGCACATGATGCCCACCTCAGACTCAGTAGTTCTGTGTCAATGGCCAGGCAACGGGTGTCATCTTCCTTCCTCTTTCAAGTGTGGGATCCCTTTCCCCACTTCACAGATGAGGAAGCTGAGCCCAGAAGGGCTACCCAGTTAGCCAAGGCTACTTAATTATTTTTGTTCTTGAGAATGTGCTCAGTTTCTATCTGTACCATTCAGCACCAGGATGATGAGCCCAGTGTTGCAAACATTCCCAACCCCCACTATCATGACCTCAGTGCCGCCTCCCAATCAAGACTAGACGGGAGCATACACATAGGTATAAGCAATAGATAAAACTCACAACACACGGAACCCAGGAACAGGGATGGGAATAGAGATACCAAAAGGGCAGGGGGAAGAGGGAGAGAGATTGGGAGGGGAGCACTGATCCCAATGAATAGCACATTAACATCCCCCGCCCCCCAGGCAGGGGGAAGAACAACAGAAACCAGAGGGAAGGGAGACAGTGGTCTGAGTGAGATTTGAAAATAATCAACAATCTACAATCTATCAGGGGGCCACGAGGGTTGGGGTCCGGGGAAGGAGGGAAAAAAAGAGGAGCTGATCCCAAGGGCTCAATGGAAAGTAAATGTCTAGGAAAGAACGATGGAATCTATGTACGAATATGTCGGATACAATTGTTGTATGGTTTGTAACAAGAGTTGAAAGATGGAAATGGAAAAAAAAAAGAGAATGATGATGGCAACAAAGTACAAATGTGCTTGACACAATGGATGGATGGATGGATGGATTGTGATAGATATGTGCCGAACGAGCCCCCAATAAAATGATTTATTAAAAAAAAAAAGATCTACAGTCTCAGAAACCCTGCTCAGTCCCACGGGGCCACTCCTCTGTGTCAACCTGCCCCCCAGGAGGGGGCTTGGTTGTCCGTCGGATTCCATATGGATAGATACTAAAAGGGCATGGTGTTCAAGGCAGACAGGCAGGTATCAACATTTGAAAAAGCTCCCCAAGTTGACTAAGGTGCAGCCACGGCTGAGAATTTATACCCGCTATCCCTTCTTTCTTTCTTGTAAACGTCATAATGGTATCCTGTTCATTGCTGAACGTGCAGATTTAAACAGGTTTGGTTTTCCTATTTAAGCAAGAACACGCACAAGAACTTAGTGGAAATATTCTATTATCTTTTCATTCCCTTTTTATGTGAACTTTTTTGATGCCCCTTCATTACAAAGCACCAGAAAATGGAATTCATTATAAAAATGAAATTTGCAGAATTTTCTAGAGAGGGTAGCTTTCCAACAAAGAAAAATATGTTTTTGTGTTTTCTAAAATATAGTTACAGGTTTCTAAATGATTCTATCATGTGGTAGTATGTTCACTGACCTGAATAAATATGTTTTACCCAACATACTCTCTGAATTCATCCATCTTGATACTACTAAATGTTTCCACACATGAAATAGAAAGTAGATGAAATAAAAATAGCAGTTTGGGGAGAGAGAGAGAGAGATCACGTCTGCTACTAATCAGTTGCGACCATGGCAGATCAATTTACAGGGTGAGCCAAGGCACTTATCCAGGGAAAGGAAAACAGTTCCACATAAGGGAAGAGTCTGCAGATGTGAACATCTGCATAATTGGAAAAAGAAGACATTTGAAATCTCCCAGATGTGCGCTTTCCCCTTTGCGCGGATCTCAGAGTATTACAGGCCAGATAAAGACCTCATAAAGATTGCCCCCACCCCTCCGGAATCTCGAGCCCCCACAGCGTCTTTCTGAGGACTTCCCAGAAATTGATGAAGAAGCCTCCTCCATCGGCATCTCTAACCGGCCTGCCTTGTATGGACCGGACTGCTTTGTCAGCTGGACCTTGTTTGGACAGACATGCCTTCCCCCTTGACTGATGGGGTGCGTGAGGTGGGATGTGCCCTCCCACGGGCTCTCTGCCCCTTTGCCTTTTCACAGGGGCAGACACTCGGAGCACAGACATCAGGGAGGAGTGGTGCTGGCTTCCTGTGTGGCCCGTGGGGGCACTAACAGTCATGGTCTTGACTACTAATGGAAAGGTTGGGGGTTTGGATCTACCCGGAGGTCTGATGATCCACTTTGGAAAGGTCAGGGCCTGAGAACACTATGGAACTCCGTTCTCGGCTGTGCATGTGGCTTCTCCAAGTGTCTAAGTCAATGTGGCGGCAGCGGGCTTGGCTTTGGATTTCGGGATTGGCACAGTGGGGTCAGTCTTAACCTCCAGTCCTTTGATCACTTCTAAGGCTTTCAAGAATGGCAACACATTCCCGGACACTAGATGTTTCATTATTATGTGTAGCCTGCACTTGATAAGCCAGCTATTGCACAGACAGCCCAGAAATGAGCAACCTCCCTTCTAAACGAGCTTCTTTCCCACCTCTTAAAAACAGCTGAAGACTTGATCAAAACACCCCAAACAAACTCACTTCCATCAAGTCGATTCTATTCACAGTGACCATACAGGACAGGATGGAACTGGTCCCGTGGGCTGCCCAGACATAACTCACTGCCCCCCAGGGTTCCTGCACCCGGGGAGAATCAATCAAGAACAGATACTCAGACAGAGGCCAGAGTAAAGGGGAACTCTTGGGGGGGAAACCAAGAAGAGGAACGTTCAACATTTTGCAAATTGCGTTTGAAATGACTTTTCCTCGCAGCACGAGCCTTCTTGCATATTCTAGAGTCAAGACGCGAGCAAGCTGCTCCCTGGGACTTCACAGTCATATTTAGCACTTAGACCGGCTTCTCTGGCAACGATTATCCCGAGGTATTTTAAAAACATTAATTAAGGGTTTAATTAGTTGTTTCAATTTAAGTAATAGAAAAAATATACCTAATTACAACTGGCTTCCTAGGCTTTTGGAAGGATTAAACTGCCTGCAGGAGCACCCATCTATGTTATCAGCTCCCGGACCACTTTTAACCACCAGCCCCCCACCCCCACCCCACCCTTTTCCTTGGCCATGCCAGCACACACACCTCCAGAACCCAGGCTACAGGTACAAGTGAGCTCTTCCCTGCGACTCTTTCCTCCCTAGCATCGCCTTACTCACACGGATCTGACTCTTGTCAAAAGCTAAACAGCCTTCCCTGTCCCTTGGCTCAGAGCAGAGGTCTTGCACACAGCAGGTGCTCAATGTGTTTATTTAACAAATATCTTGTGAAAGAATGTCCCAGTTCATATCCAATCCGTGGCTCAGGCCCCTTTGGGAAAACATGTTCCTCTCCTTTCCAGGATGGGATCCTGGTGGTGTAGTGGTTACACGTTGGGATGCGATCCGCATGGTCAGCAGTTCAAAACCACTCGCAGTTCTGAGGGAGAAAGACTGGGCTTTCTACTCCCATAAACAGTTACAGTCTCAGCACTGACTCGATGGCAGTTGAGATCCTTGCCAGTTACTAGCATGGTGACCTTAAGGCCCCCAAAAGGCTTCCTGCTTGCAGCCCTATCTCTGCTAACCTTGGGTGGTGCCCATTGAGGTTGGCCCTGGGGCCCACTGCCACTGAGACTGCTTTAGAGATGTACTGAAACTGATCAGAAGGGGACCCGCGCAAGAACCTGGCAGTAAATCAACACACAGCAGTTGCCGCTCTTAGGAAAGCAGCCCGGGTGCTGGAGGCTGGTGTCACACTTGATGAGGGGCAGGATGGCCCTCTGGTTTTGGTCTTCCTATTGGCACTGTGGGTGTTGAGTTGGGCTGCAAACTGCAAGGTTAGCAGTTCAAAACCACTGGCCGCTCCTTGGAGAAAGACCAGGCTTTCTACTCCAGTAAAGAGTTACAGTTTCGGGAACACACAGGGGCGGTTCTACATTGTCCTACATGGTCAATAGGAGTTAGAATCAACTCAATGGCAGTGAGAGTTATTGAAAGAGCCAATGGTCCCCAAGCCCACTCTCTGCTCCTGAACCTTTTATCACCACCTCTAATTTCATAGACAGCACATATTTTGCCATCGGTTGGCCTTCCTGAGTCTTCCAAAGCAAGAAGGACTGTGGGCCCTCCAGAGAATAAGTCACTGAAGCCCGTTTATGGGGGTGGTTTTGTGCTTGGCTACTAGCCGAAAAGTTAGCAGTTCAAACTCACCCCGAGGTGCCTCAGAAGATCTGGCGATCCACAACTGAAAGGTCCCAACTATTGGAACT